GCAATTAACATTTTTTCCAGAAGAATAATTTACATAAGATTTCAAATTGCTAACCTTCTCCATTACATGCACAAGTAAGGTAATATATCAAAGGATTATTCAAAAAACATCAAAGGATCTTCAACATAAAATACAAGGAACAAGATGCCTTAACCATGCAGGATTGAAACTACTGTTTTTATAATTGACTAACACCGTACTGCAATATTGTACAATTGTAACTGTTTTTTTTTTTTTTTTTTTTTGACTACCTCATACAAGTAAAATAATAAGGGTGGGAAAACTGCATGAAAAATATATTTAAAAATATGTTGGAAATCAAATGACCAGGAGATAGCGGTGGTATGCCATAACTTACAGAAGCACAATTAATTTTTAAAAAATGAAGCCAGATTACTTCAGACTGTTTCATAAAGAGCAGAAGCAATTACCTGTTGACGGTGCCTGCGACAACTGGGACCTGAATTAAAGCAGCTAACTCACGCTGTGTTTGAGGAGAAGTTTTTGCTTCAACAAGAGCACCTTGGGAGCTAAGAACAGCATATGAACCAACCTGGAAATGACACAAAGATATGGAAACTATAAATTATGAGGATAACAGAAAGCTGATATTGCAAAAGTCTGTAACGAAAATTCTCCGATTATATAAATACAAGATCATTCGCTGATGAGTAACTTACTAAAGCATGGCTGCCCAAACTCATTCTAAAAACTTCCACCTGTAAGACTTCCTCCAGAGCCTGAAATTGTAAAGAAGTTAAAGGCGATGGAGTGCAGCAAAAGCCAGAACACGAACGACTGAAAAAGATACAAGATCAAGAAATACCAAGTAAATGTAATGGAAACAATTTTCAAAATATCTCTTACTTTTTCCAGAAACATACCTTTAAAAAAAAAAAAAAAACTTTACAATAAAAAAAAGGCTATATATAAAAATATATATAATAAAAAAGGTTACAGTTAAACCACAATATGCGTACCATACCCCATCATTCCAGCTTGATAATACATGTTATAATGCCAGAAAGAATACATAGGCTTGAATTTCATTTTTCAAGTTTTTTTTAAATTTTTTAAAAATTTTTTAAGGAAGTTCCTAGAAATTTAGGAAGACAATTTAGGGATTTAAAAGACAAGTTTAGAAAGTAGTGGTACCTTTTCGGTTTCCTTACTGATTTCAGGATGTACCAGTGCAACATAATCATTACACGCAATCACATTTCCCAGCGCAGATAGTTTTTCATCTATTCTTCTTACATTCACAGTGTCGGGTAAACTGCAAACAGTGATATTTTATAAACTTTTGTAAGCTTTCTGATGAAAATATTAACCTGTTCCTGAGATGTTGCAATTCTTGATCAGTTGTATCGTTCGGCACCAACAATCCTTTTCTATTACCAACTGTTATCCGCCCAACAATTCGAGTTCCAGCAATGGAGCAGTGAATCACTGGGATTATATCAGCCAGCTCACCTTCCACCACACTGAAAGAATTCCGTCGTTAAAAGTCAAAGCATGTAGCTGAATAACCGATTTGCTTTGATAAATGATTATTAAAAAAATGGAACTTATTCGGTCTGCAACACGAGTCTTTAATATATTGTCCTCAACCTTAAGCTACAATATTACTTGTCTGTAAGAAAATATCGAAAAAATCCTCCAAAAACTGCGTCCAGATGAATATCAAAAGTAAAACCACACCAAAGACATAAATTGCTCATAAATATACATATAACATAGTCAGAAGGAGTAAAAAAAGCTAAGGCGCAATAAGCTAAAAAACAAAAGTGTCGACTAATCGAGAACAAGCAATTATTTAACCTATAAAAACTTTCTGATGCAGCAATTCCAACCAAACAATAACTGTTAGTTAGCTTGCAAAAAACACCGACTTCATTACTTGCTTCGAACTGACAACGAATAGCCATAATTTGCGCTAGTAAATATTCAAAAAAAAACACACACAAAAGTGAAACCTGCAAAAATGTTGAAAAACAAAAGTGAAACCTGTAAAAATGGTAAGAATTGCACACAGTGAACAGAAATGACATAAGTGATAAGGTAAGAAATGATAAATAAGAGAATCACAACATAATCTTATGTTCAAAGAAAATTAACGACGACATGATTTTCATCTAAAATCATGAGATCTAAAATCATCCCTCAAGAGCAAACACAGATGTCTACTCTTGTTTACATCTCTCGATATATTCAACTAATGAATTTTTAGTGCAATAACAGTCGCACGTAAAAATGGTTGAATGTGGGCTTTTCGAAAGAGAGACGCATGCTAATCGTCCTATGTAACTTATTAGTTAAAGGTTATCATCACAAAACTGTAAGGTACAATGTCAATTAAATCTTTTAATAAATGTTGAATTTTGGGCAAATAATCTATAGACGGGGACGAGAATGATAATTCCAAAAAAGGAGAAAATCAAAAAACTACACTGAAGTGCCGTACTCCCTTTACGTTACACATCATAAAAACACTCACCCATTCCTCGTACCTAACTACAACTGACAATTGCCTGAAAAAACCTAAAAACTTTGGCAGAGCAAGAAACAGTCTTTCACGAATTGTCGAGTGGCCGCCATTTACAAGTTTGTTTGAATAGAAATGTAATTTCAATGATATTACGCTGAGGTAGTCGATGAAGGTGGTTGGGTTAGTATCGGGAGGGAAGGATAGTTGTTACAGCTTGATGGTGTGTATGAGGAATGGACACGATATTACATGCCTTGCTAATCTGCATCCACCGAGCGATGATGAGGAGGAGATGGATAGTTACATGTATCAGTGTGTTGCCCACAAGGGAGTTCAGGTAAATTCTTACCCATATTTCTTTTTCATTCTTTTTAATCAAGCAACAGTGTTGGATCTTATACGACCATTAGCAGACATTTGTGTAACGCAGTGGTTCTTTCTATGCCTCTATGGAATATGCAAGTTGATCATCTGACTTAAACGACTTAACGTACGAGTTTCTAACAGCAATTAATATCGATCGTAGGTCATAAAGCTAATTGGACTTGGTGAGTATGTTCAGTTTTTTTTTCCGTTTTGTCTAATTATACTGAGGGTTGAATGGGTAGTTTTTGTTTTAGTTTTACAGTACTTCAGCTGTACAGTGAGGCATGTGGCCTTCCGCTTTATCGACGCGAAATACGAGGAAGACCGATAAAAACGGGTATTTTTTATGAAGAGGAAAATAATGATGAAGTGGAGGATCTATATGAGTTGCTTGCGTTCATTAAGCAAAAACATCCTGATATTGAGGGTATATTCGCTTATCTTAGTAGATCTTTTTTTTTTTTTTTTTTTTGAAAGACTGACGGGTCGAAGTTTTTAAAAATTCAGTGAACTGGCCGTTTTGAGTTTTAGAGTGCTCTTTACATAAAACTGTTTGCTCAGGAATGTGGTCAGATACTGAGTGCATTGTTACTGACTTAGTAAATTTGTATAACATCCCGAAATGCCTTCAGAGTTCCTCCTTTTCGAAGATTTGCCTTGAAATATTATCGTCGTATTCACTAATAATTGCATTTCCTTCTCCACATATTCAAAAGTTTCTGATTTAATCAAGCCTGCCGTCAGCTCTTACGTTTTATTGTTATCGACCTCTAACCATCAGAAGTGTTTTCCATTCGTCATTTGCTAGCAGAATATTGTTCCAACTTAAATTTTGTATTGTCACGTTTGATTTGCAGTTAACTTTGGTCATAAGTTTATAAGTCTCTGAAGTTTTACAGCTGTTTCGAGCGGTGCTATCCTAAGTAGCTACCAGAAAAATCGTATTCAAAATGTATGCAGAAGATTGAATTTGGAGCCATTAACTTACTTGTGGAACGCAGATCAAGCAGTTCTGTTCGATGAAATCATTTCGTCTGGGATTGAAGCAATTATTGTTAAAGTGGCTGCACTGGGTCTATCGACAAGGCATCTCGGGAAATCTTTACGCGAGGTATATCTTTTCAGAGAGAGCTAGTGCATAGTCGTAATGATATATGAACATTCACGTTCATGTGCTGAATCTGCAATTTGGGATTTTATTTTTTGAGATGAAAAACCTTCTGCTGGATCTCAGTAGCCGATACGGTGTTCATATATGTGGCGAGGGAGGTGAATATGAGACGTTCGTTGTGAACTGCCCATTTTTTACGAAGCGTATTGTTGTAGACGAAACAAAAATTGTGGAACATTCTGTAAATGATTTTGCCGCTGTGGCTTATCTTTCTCTTTCCAAATTACATCTTGAAAATAAATGACTTCAAATTCCTTGCTTGTTTCGGAAGAATTACAGTACTGATACACTTTAAACTTTTTGCATATTGATACATTCTAATATATTGATACATTTAAATACATTTATTACATTTATTGATACATTCTAATATATTGATACATTTAAATATTGATACATTCTAAATTAGATTTATCAGTCCCATTAATTTCTTTTGTTTTTAAGTTGAATAAATTTTTCTCACATGAATATGATTATCACATAAGAGGTTCCAAGTCACATTTTCAAAATTCTGTAGAGTGGCACAATCATACTATTTAGTTATATTAAGCCTTCACTTTCTTTTTTGCATAAAATGTAAAGGCAAAAAATGCATAAAATATAAAAGCAACGCTTTATTAGTTAATTTCAAACGTTCAATAGCTGTAACACCTTTAAGCTGTTCTTATGATATATATGTAAATCATTTCATTCCATGTTTAGGAATGTGAAGGGATTTTATTAGTAGAATACTAAAAATAGAATATAGTAGAGATATAAATTTTTGCTTTATGAGGAAAGTTACAAAAACATGAGGATTTGTTTTATATATAAAGAAGAATATACCCAATGTACAAGGCATAAAACAGTGAAAGACTTCTAAGCAATACCAAATATTATGAACATTTGGATCGAACCATGGCGATGTATAAATCGTGTTTTCGGCATAATTACTTGAAGCGAGAAATCCTTTTATGCTAAAAATATTCAAGCCAATCACAGTGAATGCTTGCATCGTGATATGCGGTTTAATTCAACCACATAATCTTTGTGGAAGTGTTTCTCAACTTCATATTCTTTTTCTAGTGTTAAGTATGTAGCGAGAAAGTCTATGTCGAAACACTGTATATTGTTCTTGATAAGCTCCACCACTTCCTGAAAAGCTGTCACATCACCGTCCATTTTTTGGAGATGACAAGAACTTAAACATTGCTGAATTTCATTATTTTAAGATGTTCAATATGTGCGAAGCAAATTTCTGGTGTTCTGAAATTTCTCTACTATCCACGACCTGAAAAAACTCTATACTGAAAATCAAAGTGAATCGGAGCTGACCTGAGAATTCCAAAATCTTGACTTTTCTACAAGCGCAACAGTGAATCCTTCCAGTGAGCAGATATCATCTCTAAAATTTAAGCACCATATTTTCTGAAAAATTTTCCTAAAACCGAAACAAAGATAGATCAAAACAAATGTGTACCTTAAATACGCTTCTCCACCACCGAAACGAATGATACGCTTAAGATCGGCAAATCGACGACGACCGCAGTAAAGTAATGCTTTCCAATTGTGGAAGGCTCTTTCAGCCGAATTCTGCAATTCAGTGATACTGCATCAATTCATTCTGATAATCCACTAGCTTTTTTTGTTGCCTTAAGGTCACAAGACTTCTGTTCTAGTAAAATATTGGAAAAAACTGATAGTAATAGAAAACGAAAGCTCCTTACGAGCACTTCAGCAGAATCTTGTCAAACGCATGACACTGGTTCTACTATATTTGGACATTTCTAATGATTTTGATATTTGTGAAACAAATTTGAGGAACCTTTTCGATCTTCTGTCGCCATCGAGGGCATGCCAATGCAAAAGAAAGAAAACGCTGTGATGAAAGGAGGCCGTGTTTGGTCACTGAGTGAGCACTTCCCCATTCGTAATTACCGGCCTAGGAAAATGTGTATAAAAATAAGAGTAATTTCCTGTTCTCAAGACTCTTCGAAGCACTGTCAAGTTTATAACTATTTAACATTTCATCATAAAAAGTGTTTTCTAGTTTTATTAATTAAAATTTTATCTCGAGCGATCAAGATAGGAATATTCCACCAGTTCTCAGGACCAAGCAACTTCGCAGTCCTTCAACTCAAACGGACCAGATAGCAGTTTGGCTTTATTATAATAAAAGTTTTTCTAGCGGATGATATCACCAAAGAGTCAAGAAAGATATTACAAAAAAATACAAAATTAATGTAGTGGGAAAAAAGAAAGTGATGGTCCTAGAAGCAAAAGATGAGGAACACTAGGAGACATCACCTCTACTTTTCTCAGTGCTAACTGCTTTGTTAGCTTTCTCATTATTACACTCTTATTCGCTGTTCAGTATAAAATCAACTTTTCATTACCTTTGACAACACATTGTGCTGAAATTTAATGAGGCAAAGCAATTCAATAAGTGTTATCCTTTATCGAATAATCGATACTACTTACCACGTTGAAAGGAATAATTAATAAGTACTAACCTCAAGCCACTTTGACTGTGCATGAGAATCGATAACATAATCCTCGTCGACAATTAAGAGTCCCTTGGCAATTGAACAAAGCAATTTTTCATTGCGCACTATCCGACCGCAAACTAAATGGGTTACCTTTTCACCGAATTCATTGCATACTGCTCCACCTAATTCCAGAACCATGGTCACCAAGGCATCTCTGTCCTACAAAAGATAAATGATGGATCTGATTTTTCCAGAACTAAAACAACGTATGAATATAAGCTCCTGTTCAAACTGCAACTGAGCTCCCTAAAGAGAACTTATTTGTACACTACATACATTTTTATAACTTCTAGTTTACGTTGCTAGCGCTATTACGAAAAAATAATAATAAAATGTTGGATTTATTCAATGAGACCTACATATCGTGTAGTTGAAGTAAAACATATTGTTTTATTGGTTATGACAATTGTTTCTATTACAGCAGCGTTTCCACCTAGCTCCACAATGCTTAAATACAAATACATATTCAAAAAAGAGTCAAATCGAAATTTAATGATAGATATCACATTTTTCAAGGACCACTGCAAACTAAATGTTAGATTAGTCCTTCTGCATGAAAAAAAAAGAACCAATAATGCATCGTTCCGATTTAAAAATTATAAAAATCAGATTAAAAATAGTCCTTTTCAACATTTTTATAACTTTTTTCAATACTGATCCATTAAAATCTTAGTAGCAATTGATGAAAAAAAAAAGAAATAAAACATAAATATCATTCATGATCAATCAAATTACCCTGCTTTATTTCCTTGATTCTGCTCTTCTCTTTTAGACAGCACGGGTGCTTCTCCATCGTTCTCTTCCTGAAAATAAAAAACAAATTCCGTTGCTTAAAGAATCTGAAGAAGTTCACTGAAGAATTTGGTACTATCAACTTTTTCGTTACTTAATATTATTAAGTTGTTAAGCCATCACCTATGCAATAATCAAAAGATAGCAAAAACAAAAGAATACAAAATGCTACCAAAAAATAAAAATTTGAAAAAAAAATGACACCTTACATTTAAAAAAAATACTTTTAATTTGCAAAAAACTTACTAGATCAGTATCGAAAGGGTTGAGTATCTGTGTAGCAATGCTAAAAAGCATATCGTAATTGTGGAGATCACAAACAAGTTACAATTTACCGTCAGTGATACCCATTACCGTGTGAGAGAAATAATTTGAAATGCTAAACCTCATTTCACAAAATATGTATTGAACACATTTTGAAACACTGCAAAATTTTCTGATAGATAAGATAAAACAAAAGCACCAAAAGTACTAATAGAAAAGCGCGTACGGACGTGGGCTGCTTTCTCGCCATCCGTAGTATTCGGGCTCGGGTAATTCAACACATCTTTTTTTAGTACATCGTTTTACTGAATCCATATGTACTTTTGCTTTCTCCTCTTGCTCCTAAAAAAAGATAATCGAAGTTCGGTAGTGCTTCGACACTACATACTACACATAGTACATTAAGATATACAAGTTCAAATAATACTGATAATACTAACTGGTCAATGCACTGAAAAGAATCTAGAACTAGTACTAACTTTATTTTCTAGAACAAATAAAATCAACATACAAGCTGTTTTTTTTTCTCGGCCTCTATAAATCGCATATATTGCTCTCTTTGTACAGCCAGTTTAGCCAACTTTTCAGCTATTCTTCTCCTAAAAATACTGTCCAATCTAAACTATATTTTGAAGATTTCAACTTGAAGAGCGCACAGATTTAAAAAGTCATATTAAATACAAATTTTTACAAACTTTTTTTCGTCTTTCGAAATAACTGGTTGGCAATTTTCAAAAACTGTTGTTCTAGCCTTTTTAGGATTTTCCATAGGTTCAATCGATGAGAATGACTGAGCATTTCTCTTATTTAGCCTGATCTACAAAGTTATAAGGTTACTTTTAGGAAATTAACTTAAAGATTTAATTGAATTTGAGATTTTTTAGAAGAAAAGATTGTCATGCAGAATCAAAAAAAAAAAAAAAAGTTTGGACAAATTACAAGCATCACCAGCTATGTACACACCCTCAACGACTTTGACCTATTATTATCCCGCCTCAATATCTAGAATTCTCGGAAAAATTGCAGAGGAAAAAAAACCAGATAATGGGCATTTCATGTCTTGCTTATTACACTCAATTATTACAATTATTATAGTAATAAAGCAACCCATGAAGTTTACCTGCATGCGATTATAATCATTAGCTCGCTTAATCGATGATGCCCATGGGGTATTATTTGCATTAGCAGTTTTAACCAGTGCTTCATCAATCGCATGGCCCACTGCTGTATCATTCTGCAATTGTTAACTTCACACAAACTGCTCACTTTTGAAAGCATAAATGAACAACCAAAGCAATCAGTTTACAACTGTCTAATTCTTCTAATTGAAAAAAAATTTTTTTTGCTGATTAATTTTAAGTTGAATTATTCACAATCTTTAGAGCTGAATAATGATTTTTCTCTGCTTTCCTATTTGCTTTTATCAACTTAGATCAAACAAAACAAACCATGTCAATTATATTAATATCAAATAAAATACGCAAAATTCTGCATGTTAAGGGACCTACCCATGTTTCTCTATCTGGTGAAATACACAATGTGTTCTGCGTATTTATTTCATTAACATAACTAAATGCTTCGGTAAGATCTAAGACCGCAGCCAAATTGTTACTTGTTTGTCCCTGTGAATTTTTCTTGCCATACTGCTAGAAACATTGCTGCATTTTTTCACCAAAAATCAAATATATTAAAATAATAGCTTCTCATAATTTCGCTTATAATTTCGGTTGAAATGATTTTTGCTAACTTCAACTGCTCAGTTTTTATTCTCAAAAAAAAAAAAAAAAAATTTCTCCATATCTGACCTATTTTGTAAAACTAATTTATAATGTATTTTAAAGTTTATGTTTCAGCGGAGATTTTCGTAAATTAGATAAGGTTACTCATGCAGCACAAAGATAAATCAGAATCACCAACATTTGCTTCATCAAACGTATTCTGATTTAATATTTTTAACAATCGATCTCCAGATTTTCCCGTAATTTCCGCATTCTGGACTGAATTGGACTGAAATACATTCACCCCACAATATTGTGGACTTGTCGCCTTTTCGTTTTTGTTTAAAGTTTCCCGAATGAACAGCAGCTCATTATTGCTCATTCTATCTAGTACACATAATCTATCGTTGCTTGGTTTTTGTTGCTTAGTATGCATCCATAATCGATCCTTCCGCATATAATTCTTGTAAGGTTGGTCGTGGAATAAATGTATCTGCACTGGTTGCAGTTGATTCTACAACCACGAAATTACAATTCCGCCAACATTACCACTGAATGTTTCAAATAGTTGAAATTTTTCATTTTAAGTACTATAACAGAAATTCACTACCTGTACTATAGATTCAATAATCCAAGATGGATCCAGGACAGGTATTTGCCAACGACGTGCAGAGTTAGTGCAATCGGTTTCAGCACCTGTTATTATTTCTGTACACACATTTAACTGTTGGATTTGTCCCGAGTGATTTCTCACGCTGAAAAACATCTCAAAATAAAAGAAAACGATAATTTCGAATCATAAATTCGATGTTTGTCATTTACAGAGAAAATGATGTGACTGTACAAACTAGACAATAAATACACTAAACAGAACATCGTAATAAATGGCAAGTGAATTATGAAAAACTAAAACATGTCAAACTCTGAATGCAATAAAATCACGCTGAATAACATCTGCACTGATTGATAGTAACAATCTATTCAAGTTAAAGTCAGTCTTAGTTCCTTTGGTTCGGCAAATCATACACTATATGAAAGTTTGGAATCAAAAAGAAACTTACTCCGCCCCGAACTTGTATAGAATATCAGTGAAAATATCCTTCTCAGATTCAGATAGCCTACTCAAACCAACAACGTGTCCATCGAAAATCTGAGAAGTTTCGAACATTTCGATGGGTCGATAAAGTGGATGTTTTTCAGCATTCATTATTGCACCATTTTCAACACATTCTTGCTATAATTCGAAAAATAAAGATGAAGCGAAACAAACTGAAACCGATGAGAAGTATTCTCGATATTATAATCATCACTTCTGCACTTAACATAGCCCAATGAATACCTTTTTTTTTCTTTGCAAATAACACAAAAGCCTCATTTGAAGACAAAAGTTAAACCTAAAAATCTTTTGTTCCGATATTTTTGTTGATTACATCTAAACTTGTATTGTGCACATGCACAAGAGAAATTAACAAAGATCCAAAAATTGTAAAGTGCAAAAGATCCAAAAATTGTAAAGTTCTTAAATACAAGTTTAATTTTTATTTTTGTATCAACTTCATTTCATTTTTAAGAGAAAGGCAAGTTTTACAATTTCTTCATACTAAATCTTAGCACATGTTACAATGTAATCCTAAGACTAAAAAAGAAACAAAGACAACAGCTTCTTATATTTTTAATTAAAATTGAAACCTACGCACCAGCCAAAACGACGAAACAATACTATCACAATTGAAATTTGTTGCACTGTCATTGAGGAGAAAATTGAACACTTCACATACTACATAATCAACCCAAATTTCTGTTTTTTGTTCTACCTTACCTAGAAATCATTAGCTACAATGATTTTTAAATGTTCGAAATCTTAGTGGGACTAAAACTTTTTTGGATGACTGTCCTCATACAGTATTCTATTTATTCATTAATGAACCGCTACTTATAGCAACAAAACTGAGTATAAAATTTTAGCTGCTAAACTATTTAAGATAATAAAAAAATCACCCCCGTGATTTTCGATATCAGAAAATAGTTTTTCTCGAACTTTTTCGTTTTTAACAACGATGCGAAATGACAACCCAGTGAACAATTGATGATCACTATAGTCATCTTCATCATCATTGTTTACTGATTTTCCCTCAATATTTTCCTCTGCAGAATCCAGCTCGGTATTCTTTAACATCCCAGCTGCTTCATCTAGCAGTTTAGTTCCTATCTGAAATAATGATCAGCGTTGAAATCTAAGACATTGCGGTTGCAAATGAAAATTAAAGCACTGTTTTTTCTAAATAAATGAAACGAATGAAGCTGAGTTGAATCGTGAAGAAAAAAAAGACTAATTCTTAATGAATGACCTCACCTAGAAATGTTCATACTTTCACGTGTTTCAAAGTTAAACAAGAGCTGATGTTGAGCAGTAAAAAAATAAGCTAATAGAAAAAACTCTAAATCAATAGTCTTACAATCCTTAAATAAGATCTAAAAATACTTCAGTAATTTTCAATATGGTTTTCATTCTCGGTTCCTCGCTGCAACCAACTTCTTTCACAGTCGTAACGCCGAATCTACGTTGCAAGAGTTCAAAATTGCTTTTTTCTTGTTTGAAAATCAAATAGTTTGATTCATCCAAAACCATTTGCGCTTTGGCACAATCCAACAACCATTCAGACGTAACTACTTTAACATTACTACGTGCTTTTTCCTTGAGCTGTAAATAAAAATTTTGTGAATATATGGAAAATTTTTTACATAAATAAAAATATATAGAACAAAACTTTTTATGAAATATATTTTCACTAAAAGTAACATATTTATAGCTCAGTGACAAAAGATGTGGTATTAATGGCTTTCATTGGAAAGGTCACAGATATTAGATGTAAGCATGTCCTTATTTTCACCAACTGAATGGTGTTTCGAATGATCTAGGTTTATCAGACACATTATGAAATGATTACCATGACCCTACTAGAAGTTTCATAATAATACATTTGATTTCGCAGTAAAAATTTTCGATATTACAAACATTATCTAATAAACTGCATTTGTAAGTGCTTGAAAGCTAAAAAAGACCTCTTTAATCAGCTTCCAGTCCAGTCTTTGTGGACCAACCACTACATGAGTTGTATCATTATACAGAAGTCTGTCACGCCGACCTGATCCAACTTTATTGGTAAGGTGTTTGTATTTTTTAAAATTTTCGTCTTCTATTCCACACAAATAGATGATACAATTCTTAAATAGAAGTTGATCATTCAAAAAATAAAGAAATAGCAATGAGGAAAGTTCATTAAAAACTGACGTATTTAAAATTTCTCAAATATTTTTTAGAATTCCGAAAACCCTGCTGAAATGCTCCACTTTAGCAGAAAAACAAATATTTTATATGAAAAAAGACTAAGAAATTCAAAAATGACTTTCTCAAAGAAGAAATGCAAAGATAGCCTACACTCATGAAATCATTAAACCGAAGAGCATCTATGTCGAAGAAAATGATAGGATCGATTTCCGTCGTCGTTCGTTGTGATGACTTTACTTTTAACAAATTACTATAAAAATTATAAAATTAGAGGAAGCAAATAAATTTGAAACATTTCATATATTAACCAATAAGAATCTTTTGGCTATTCAAGGCAACGCACTTATCAATATAAAACTCTTACGACTGGAATTGAGCTTTCTGAAAAAGATTTTGGGATAATAAATATCAAGTCAATTAGTGACTATCTGAAGGCAGCCTTTCTTAAAATAATCCGAGTTGTTGCGAATAATTATTTTTATTTACCATCTTCATCTCTTTATAAAGATAAAATTGCTTGCAAATAACAGAAAAGAACCTTTCGGTGACAATTGGTTTACTTAATTCCGTCTCGCTATTTTCACTTTTCGCTAAATGCATATCTGAAATAGCGTTTGACGGTAGTCCATTATCTTTCGATAAATCTACAATCTCTTTAATCTCTTATCATCTCTTTAAATGTGAAGTTTTTTGTCTTTCATCCCATTAAATGAAACCATAATGATATCTCAAACTATTTTAAGAAATGCTTGTTTGCAGAAAAGGATCATACATTTGCATATACACAGATCTTAATCGAAGCATCTCAGATAAAGCACAGCAGGAGAGGCTCACTAGTTTTCAGACAACGATCCTAGGATAAGAACAGCAACTCTAACTCCAAATTTGGGCAAATATAGCTCGTAGACAAAGTCTTGTAAAGAGAGACAGAGGACATTCTAACTAAACAGTTGCTATCCAAGACTATGAATCTTAGGAGTACAAAGTGGGCTAGTTCAGTATACACTGTGCCTCACATATAAAAAATTCATTGGCTTATACCACACCTGTCAAAGCATTTGCAGCAAACATAGATATGGTACTCAAACTCTCGCTCGCCAAACCAAGTCATATGATAATGACATATACAGGATGGTTTGTTCTATGGAGAGTAAGATAAAACTAGAACTAACTCGGAAAAATTTTTTTTCTTCACAAAACAATTGAGTTATGTTACTGATAACACTGCCCAAATTACAACGAAATTTTCTATAGTTGTTATTTCATGCATTGTTTCACACTAAAAAGAAGCTTGAAAGAAAAACTAAGCGTTTACCCATTGTTTCCTTCTGATCAGCTGAGCAACGAATGACACTAATTTCTAGATTTGTAAATGGTTGAAACTGCGTAAATTGTGAAGTTCGTGGAGTACTACATTCAATTGCGGAATTGATCCTGGTTTCATAGAGCCTTTCAGGAAGACGATATCCCTAAATTTGTTCTAAAAAATAATAGGAATGGTGGCTGCCATTGGTAACAACCTTAACGAATTCCAATAAAAGATGTGAAGACGAAAAAAAAATTCTGGTGTTTCCTAATTTCCTCAAGAACATACCTTCTCCAAACTTTTTGTAATCCATCGCAAACGAACAATCTTGATCTGATTCCAACCCCATTTTCGAGCAATCTTATATTTCTCACCCGAATTTAAGTCAGTCACTAAATGAGTGCAATGATTTCTTTTCATATTTCCTGTATAGACACCACCATTTTTTCCAATAAGATGTGAAAGAGTTGAACGATCTTGAGGAGCCAAACCTGAGCAGCTTATGACCTGAAATTGATTATGTCCAATATGCTCAATTTTTTGTAAATCAGATATTATAATCGGATATCATTCAAGTATTTGCGCTATACTGCATTTTCACTTTATGCTGACACTGATAATTAAGCATTATTGTATTTGAATTTCTATCAAAATAAAATAAAATCACCCAGCGACAGCTAAAAACATTGGACTTACACATTTAGCGAAAATTTGGAGTTTGTGTTCTCCGATAAATTGTTCATCAGTGTATTTCCTTTCATTAAATGCTTTCGCACTTTTCCATGCAGTAAATATCCAGCTGACCGACAGCACTGGAACTGCATAATCTACAGCAGTCTAAAAAATATTTTAATATATCATAAAATTTTTTGCTTCAAGACAATGCATATTTGGAATTAGTTTGCCACTTGGTTGTGTCTATAATCAACCCAATTATCGGAAGAAAGAAACTAAACGATAAAAAACACTCATTTTTATTTCTGATCTTCTAAAATAACAAATTAGAGTCGAAAAATACAATGAACCAACAACAAATTTTTTAGATTTTGTATCCTGAGAATCAGCAACTAGATGGGTGACTTTTTTTGTGAAAGCTTTAGAAATCGTTCCACCCATCATCTTCACAAGCGAAATTTGATGTTTCTGAAACAACATACAAATTGAATTTGGAAAAATGAAGCATTTAACAATTCTGTTATTTAGTTAAAACTGTCATTTTTTCTTTTTTTTCAAGTTTATAATTACGTGCATTAATGGACAAAAAGGGAAATAGAAACTACACATAGGAAAGAAAATAGAATTACAGAAACAGAAAGTGAACCCGTATTTTCATCTCGATTCCACTAAAGCACACAATGGAATCCTGCAAAGTTGTAGACCAAACAGGAGAGTGCCGTTTTGGAAGACGCTCTTTTTTTTTCAGACATGTTATGAGTGCTAATGTTCCGTATACCCTGATTTGTTTAATTATTATTCTATAAGATGAAAAAATTTCATGGATGCTGTCAGTTTTAAACGTTACAAAAAATTCTGACTAAAACTTTAAGAATATTTTATTAACGTAAAATCTATAAATCATCTCAGAAAATTAACTAATTCATGGAGGAATACCTGCATTTCAAAGAAATCAAACGGCTAAACACTTTGCCCCTGAAAATAGGCAGCACGTAGAAATCGTCACATTCGAATTTTCGTTCTAAACAATCTTTGCTTGTGATCCATTTCGGATTCAGTGATTTTTTCTTTAGCATCTTTAATGATATTAAATTTATGACTCATAAAGTATTTCATGAAGATAACTTCATGAAAAAAAGGAATTAAAAAAGCCTCTTTAAAGCGAAAAAATTCTTGTAGAATAGTGTAATTTGTATTACCAGAGACTGTTTTGAGAAAATCGTTTTAATAACAGTACTAGATTTTCGCTTCCTGATCCTAGTGATTATTTGTGCTAACAGAACAAAAAATAAGTGAATCAATAAAAGAGTGAAATCAAATAAAATAGTTCTGATCCTGTATGAAAGTGAAAATTAGTAGATAATGTTATGATTGGTTGTCATGACCAGTCGCAATTAACTGTTGTCTCGCTCACTCGTCTGATAACTTACTGTTTATACATGCAAACGAAATAGCCTGGAGTTACCTCTCAAGCTACACAAAATTTCATCAGAAAAGTAAAGAACGAGACAATAGAAGCAAGGAATTTGAAACAAACCTGGAAAAGATTCTCCTGATGAATGAGTTCATCGGAACATGGGGAACCGGCAACAGCTTCACCAACATCAGCTTTCAGCATCCACAGCCGGTATTTTCCCATCATTTCGATATTCTCACTCGAATGATTCTTTCTGCACGTTGTTTCCGGACGCATCTTCATCAGTCACAAAATTTGACTATACTTCCTTCAACTCACGGATTTAAGTGCAACAATAGGAAAGCAAACTGGCCACTCACTGTCACTGCAAATCACTCGTCACGTCCGGACTTACCCACCTGCTAAGAAAACCAATGAACCGCCAATTCGGACAACGTGCGCTCGAATTATGTGAAGACGGTGGGAGTGTTTCATGTTACGGTAGGAGTGTCACTAGGCTATAAGTCTACCTCCGAAGTCTTAGGACCACATTTCGAGGTGAAGGTTGTGTGAAGAACTGGTGGGGAAACTTGCTTTAACGCCGTGTATATTCTGATGAAGCTGATTAAATTGTCATGTATTTAACTTCTGGTTCCCGCTGAACTACCAATTCTCCCGTCATTTGCGTCCTTCATGCCACTCTTTTAAAAACTTGCGTAAATTGCAGCTTGATGATATGCACTTAATAAGACATTTCTTTGCCTTTTATTTATTTGAAATTGCAGGTTGAAAAGTGTCGTTATTGAGTGCTTTCTTCAAACTTGCTCCAAAAACGTCACCTTGCATGGAGAATGCAGTTACAGAAGTGACTGTTGTTAGTGGCGTGTCGGAGAACAAATCTCTAAAGAATTTTGAAACATATTTTGCGAATTTCAGCCTTACATCAACGAAAATTAAACTCTGTAGGTTATTTTAATTTTATTGATGGTTAAGTAAGGCTTGTAATGGGAAGCATTGTGATACAACAGTTTATAGTTTGATTAATGGTCAGGCTAATGAAATGGATTGGTAACTTATTCTGATGTTTGGCAATATTTAATATGAAGCTACAGCAACACTATGTGGTTTGTCATGGAATTAATGTTTTGTTAAAAAAATTTATATTCATTGACTTTTAGTTGCTTTAGTTAACTAGTTTCCTTCTTTCACCTCATTATTATCTTCAAAATGATTATATAGTCGCTTATGAGTTCATCATTCCTATGATTACTGAGCGCAAAGGGATTACGTAGTTTTTTAGTATATGTTGAGTAAAGTCATACCGTAGGATAAAATGCTCCAAAATATATTTTGTTTTTGTTTCATATTCGAAGTATTTGGGTCTTCCTGAAGTGATTTCCGAATTTTACTCCATTTTTTATCAGAATTAGTATATAAGTGTGTGTGTGTGTGTCTCGGATTCGATTTAATTCGACCGCTAACATCAATTTTTGGTTTTTTTTTTAATTGAAGCTCTGAGATTTGGGCTAATCATATTAATCAGTTACACAATCTACATCTGCTTTGTACTAACATTAGATAAAAGTTTCATGTGATCTAATCGGAAAGTAATATATGTATTTTCTTAGCAATTGTTCGAGAATTCTTATTAGGCATTTGTTCTCATAAATCGCAAGTAGAAAAGGCTCTGAGAATTGTGATATATCCTTCTTTGTGTGCTCTCGCGCAAGATTTTATCTGTCATTTTTTCAAGTGTTTTGATCAACTGCGTTATTGTTTGTCAGCTCTGTTTTTTTAATAATAACAAAAAAGAAAAAAAATAGGAGGGAAACTATTTCCGATTATCTTTCTTCGCGAAGTAAGTACGTCATATTTCATTCAATTATTTCAATGACGGAACATCTGTCAAACAGTTATGACTGCAGTAACCAATTGAGATGCTTGAACATAAGTTGTTCTGCTATCAAGATGTTGGACTAATAATTTTATATATACCTATTTATTCATTTCATTTGTTTCCTATCAGAAATCGCTTTCGTAGCCTTACTGGGAGGAAATGGTGACTTACTATTTTTTTGTCTCCATATATTAGAAACTGTTTCAGTGAGCGCATTTGCACTCGGGTCATTTTTCGGCTGTGCTTTACGATCCTCATACCAGCACACTAAAGGTCAACAACTGAGAAACATTCGGAGTGGATTTGCACTTGGAGTACGTGCACTCGGTATCGCCACGATTTTGTCGGTATCCGGTGTTGGTTTATTTATTGTATCTGTATCCGCAGCACTCCAAGTCGATTCCCCGCAACAGTTTGGCCACAAGATGGTCAGTTTGTGTGGCAACCGTTTCCGTATTAACAGAGGAGAAAGTGTTACTACGTTTTCTGAGGTATTTCGGTTTTCCGGAATAATATTTAATTGTTATTATAACTAACTTGTTAATGCCAGCAGATTTTTGTACTACTAGTCAAATATGTTGAACAAGGCTTTTGTAATCCCAAATCCCATACCATTTTTACGATGAAGAAGGCAGACACTTTTCCCATTGCAAATAAATGAAAATCAGTTAGGTAGTTAGAGAAAAAGGGACTAGGAAAAAAGACGCAGGAAGGTATACAAGGAGATAAAAGCATGTCAACCAGGTTACAACCTCCTATGCGTAGCATGTTCTGTGGTTGAGTTACGTTTTCGGTCCTTAATGATTCTTGTGTCACTGAAGCGCAGATCTTATTCACCTTCCTTTTAGTATTGTCATCATTTTGCCATGATTACACCCGATCATGATGATGGAAAGAGAATATAGTTGAGTCTGAGTAGATCTAGAAGTTGGTAGTAATGCTTTTCTTTTTTCTATTTCTGAGAAATGCAGTAGTATTGAATATCGGTTTTACAAACATTTAGATCTCCCAAAATTTTTTTTAGTGTTGTCATCAAAAAAGAAGAATCTTTATTTCTTTTCTGGAAGTACGACTGGAGAAATTTGTATCCAGATATCCTCAGTTTTTCGAATTAGAATCCAAATTTTAATCTAGATGCCCACATTCGCTTATCTTTTTCAAATCATGCCACATTACAAACTCCCCATCTAGTTATATAATGGCAGTGAAGCTACTTGGAAAGCTTTTTTACTTTATTTCTGTTGGCCAAATTCCACTTATAAGTTTGTACAATGCATTATGCAGATAACTGATATTTAGATTTCTGTATCCGTCAAACAAGATGGCACATTGCCAAACACTGGGACATCCTGTATGAAGTTTGTGATACATTCGTCTATAGTTAGCATATAATTAGGTTACTGGCGTTTAAGATCATCTGGTTTTAACTGATTAACAGATTGCTTTTCCTTAGCTTGTTAAGATTTTGGAATGTACTGCGTCTTGTTTCGATATTAAGCAGCTGCTATCATTCATCATTACGATAAAGTGTTCTTCGGTCAAACCCCGTGGAAATCTTTGATTTAAGTCAATTTTTTTTTTTCATTCCAGATTCTCGAAACGGCAAATAATTCCACGGAAGAAAATTAAAGATCTTCGAATTCCACCACTCGAATGATCCTTGCATTTTTTGGTTTCTGCATTCTTACAGTTTTATTACTGCTTTCGCTCTTATTTGATCGCGCAAAACGACGGAGTTTACCAAGATGTCAGCGGGCGTTGCTAGTTATTGCTCATCCTGACGATGAAACGATGTTTTTTACTCCGACTCTTCATGGCTTGCGACTTTCTGGATCAAATATTTATATGCTTTGCATTTCTACGGGTAATTCCAATGGTCTGGGTGTAAAACGTAAATACGAGTTGGCTAGCGCTTTCATTGTTCATGGATTATCACTTGATAATCTGACTATTCTAAACTATGATAATTTCCAAGATGGATTCATCCAGTGGTCTAAAGAAGAGTTGGCCAAGGTCATCTTGAGACATATGCAAATGCTGGATGTGGACTTAGTAATTACCTTTGATGAAGGTGGTGTTAGTGCTCATCCTAATCATATTGGATGCTTTCGAGCGCTGCAGTATCTTTACACAAATGGTTTGATTCCAGCTGGAGTACAGGTAATCTTTTATTTTTGGAATCAAATGGCGGTTTATTGGAGCAGATACAATCTAAATAAAACATGATAAGTCCATATCAACTGGAATTCTAAAAATACTTGAGAGTACTTAAAGTAAAGAAGGAATTATATTAACATTCACTAGTACTATTCGGGGAAAAAATTATCTTACTTATACGGAATGATTTAAACCTTTTTTTGCAGGAGAACACATTTCGTTGATTGGTTATCCATTCCAAATAATGGTAAGGTAATAAAGAAATATCGCTATTTGACAACGTTTTTTCTAGATTTTTGTATTGGAAAGTGTATCGTTCTGGAGGAAGTATGTGATACTTTTGGATGCTCTGATCAGTTCATTCCACTCTACATTTCTGTATATCTCTTCACCGCTATTGTACATCACTGCCTGGCGAGCTATGTGGGCACATCGTTCTCAGTTGGTGTGGTTTCGCTGTCTATATATGCTGTTCAGCCGTTATATTCTTATTAATACACTGAAGAGGATACATGCACAACCAAGATATCCTGTACTTAAGAAGAAATCGCATTTTCACTGATGATGTTTCTCGTGCTTTCGAAAGTCTATGCAGTAATTTTATTTTAACTGATGAGCAAAGATGGTGCCTGTTTATTATGTTAGTGAATTGTCGATATCTTTTCATGGTAATGGTTCTTTTGAGTAAATCTATTTCTTTTTAAAATTACGAGGAAATTGTTGAGATTGCTTTATTGGCTCGAAATGACTCGGTAGGTGAGGAAAAGGGAAGTTTTCTGAATTCTAATAACAAAAGTTTGAGAATATTTTTCTATCAAATGGAACTAAAATTATAGTACTCTTAGGATATTTGAAATTTCTGAAAAACATTTCACGAATATATAGATTAACTGACAAAATAATAGTAATTGAAAATTTTTCAATTTGAAATGTAATTTTTGTCTTGCTTTTTTTTCTCGGTGCTTCTGGAGTTTATGAAAGTGAATGAGTGTATATGAAATGTTATTTTTCACACAGAATCTTTCACGCACTTTTTGAATTGTTCTGTTAATAATTTGTAACCCATATACCAATTTTTCATACCTAATTGTGTGTCACACAAGTTATCAAATCTCCCTTTCCTCTAACATTTATATGCTCCTAAACGATTTTGCGCCCATATATAAAAGACATTTTTATAAATGGAAAAGGAAGATTTGTAATGAACCAGACATGAATTAGTTCGTGATCACTTAGGACAGTAAGTAGTGCAGACAGATGTAATATATAGTGGTGGAAGAAAGTACTTAAATTCTAGATTTCTGCAAGAATATATTATCAAACCCTCCTTTTGTGTGATAAAAATTCTCGAAAATCTCGAGATGTATATACATGTCTTCTCTAGTGTACAATAGAAATTCTCAAGACCAGAAGGAACTCAATAATATGTAAAGAATGCCTAAGAATTCATTTAAGGATGTTATTGCTGCTGCAAACCGTTTCCTAGCAAAAGGAGAAAATCATCTAGTCAGAGAATAAGCCTTAACAAATCATAGTAGCAGTGCAAACAGAGCGACCCGGTTTTTATAATTTAACCATTCCATTAAGCAGCACGGGTATGTAACGAAATATTAGCTCAAATAACGACACAACGCGGCCATAGTTACGTAATGACAAGATTTATGTAGCATATTTATCGCTACTTTATCTGGGTGAGACTCTGACTTAGAGGCTTCGCACCACTAATCTCTTGGCAAAGCACATGAATCAAATCTCTGCACCTGCAGTTCCTCTTATACAGAATTATTACCGTGGCAACTGTTACGGAAGTATTATTTGCATTACTCTCTTGAAAAGACTGGAAAGGACTTGAATAATCAGGCATTTTATAATTCGGTATTTTTCTTTCACTGTTTTTTTAAATATTTCAGTATGATATAAAATAGCCCATATTCCTCCCTAGTGATGGGTGGATAATTCAACATTTGGTAAATTTTGTTTGTAATTTTATTTTTTGATAGGGACAGTGGACACCGAAATATCGCTATGTGATAAGCTCGTTTTACTCATTTCTGTAACAACTTTTCTGACAGAAATTGAAAAGGATCAATATGACATGTTTTCGTAGTTTATATTTCTACTGGAAATCAAGATCAAATGAGCTTTTACCCTTTTACTCTACGAGAGGTTTCCATCATATCCAAGCTAGCTTGGGTTAGTGGTTTAATTTAATATATTAATGAAAGTGGCATTTCAGTGCTAGTATTTGTATATATATAGATACAAAAACCATATGCCACAACTCCCATGATTCGTTACAAAGTCAGATTAGAGTTAAACTCAGCAGTATTCTTTCCAGACTATTTTCTAAGGCCGTTCACTTAGCTATGGTTTCATTTAATTCAGGCGACCACAGTGTGAACCTAGAAGTTTTGAGGAATGAGGTGTTACTGCGAAGTTGAGTGCTTTATTTGCTTAATGCTTACCTTGCAGTTATAGTATGAAGCATAAAACGGACAATCTTAAACTGATAACAATATTACAAATGATAATATAACCCTACCACTAAGCTATTTCTAAAAAGGTTTTGTTAATCGAAAAGATATAAAAATGTCTAATAATATGAATATTCTTTCACGCTGCAAGCAAAATACTTTCTCCATGAAAACAGCTTTTCGCAAAAGTAACTGTGTAGTTATCTGGCTCATGGTAAAACTCTGTTTCCGTCTCTCACTTATAAAAGGAAGGACAATTGTTTGAGTAAATAAAATTAAAAAAATCAGTAACATTTATTATTTCTCAAGAATTCAGCTCCAAAGATTTCTTGACAATATCAGTGCAAAGTAATGAGCCAAGCACAATATTTTCGCAGTGTACATGGACTTGTTTTGATTCCAAAGCAATTAATACCTGTTGTTTTTTGGATAGCGTCTGCGCACAGAAATGAGTCTAGAGCAAGTTTTAAATAATTAAGAACGTGTTTTCAGACTGTAAGAAAACGTTTGTAACTGAAGAAAATCACCATTCAAAAAATACCGGACAGAAAAGTAAGGTAGCACACTGCGCTGCTAGCTAACCTAGTCTAAATATTCAGGACTTCAAGCAATTTCGTATCTATTTTAATTTTGAAAAACAAACCTCGGAACCGTTGACATTGGTGCAATTTGCAACAGTATATAACTCTTCCGGTCTCAAAGGCTCTTTCAGATTTCCGCAGTGTTCGTTCATTCCACTTAAACGTAAAATTCCATTTATAAACTGTTCTTCCGTCATAATTATCGGTTCAATTTGTTCGCCCATTGGAGCTTCAATAGTAATTGTCACTTCGTTGGCATCTCGCGCGCTGATAACCCATTCAGATGCTCGTTTGCTATCACCAAAGTCAATGTAGACTTTCTTAATTACATTTTCACCAGGTGATAATCTGTCTACCTTAATTTGGTCACTAGTTGACACTTGACCCAAGATCTGAAAAATATTTCATAAATTATTCAAGAAAAAGGATAACCGGAAAGAAAGAAGATCCAAGCTCGTAAATTTGATTACAAGGACGAAAAAATGTTTGGTGAAGGATAATGAAATTTTCCGAAAAATTAATGTGAAAGGATGAATTACTACTACGTAATAACGGGCTTTTATGTGAAACCTGTATGAAGTTGTATCATGAGTATTAGCATGAGCTGAACCACTCCCTGCTATCACATTCCACAAGTTTTAAGTATTCAGGACATATTATAATTGAAATTATCAGAAACGAATTTAAAGTTCGAAATGTAAAGTAACTCAGAAATGTAAAGTAACTGATAGAAACTTCTGAGGAAAAAACAAATACTGTTCTAAATAAATATCGAACTAACCTTCGGAGATACTGTAATTTCAGCAGATTCAGTCTCCAAATTGTTTGTGAACCTAAATAAAACTGCACACATTGACGACAAAATTGATGATGTCTCACGCGGAAAACAAGTATCAATACTAATCCCAGTAGACCAGACTGTATGATTCATGAGTGGCATAAACGATGTGTTCACCAGTTTCGGTCCTACGACAGAGTTGTTAGCAAGAATCGGTGCTAGCTCAAAATTTAAATCGAGCAAAAGATCAAGATTTCCAGATCTGAAAAATGCAAAATTTGTCAGTGAAGTTAAGCTGAATAAAACTTAAGCTCTATGAGGAGCATAAACACGGTAAAAAACACATTCCATATTTCTTCCCGCACATATTAACTCCATACTTATATAACTTACATCTTCTCAGACTCAGCTATTGTAAGAACTCGATCTTCTTTGCTTTTATTACTTTTACCATCCTCTCTGTCTTCTTCGTTATCTTCGATTTTATTTTTCTCCCTATCACTTTCATCTTCGTCCTGAAAATTTTTCGATTCAAATCTACCATCCCAACAATCACAAATTGTAATTATTTATCGATGTCTACAAGCAATTCAAATTAAAGTTACACTACCCTAAATCCATGTTCATCCTATATTTCCTTCTTTTTCAACTCCTTCCATGTGGTAAACAACTATATACCTCATACTCATCACTTTCTTCTTCTTCACTCTGTTCTTCATCATCCGAATAAAAATCGTCCTCTTCACTTTCATCGTTTTCGATTTCATCAATAACTCGCATATCATTATTAATTTCTTCCAGTTGATTTGTATTTCGCATGGATGGATCAGGTGCAATTTGCGGAAACTGTGGTAAATCGCGATATCTCCTACAACGCTGGTTGAGGAAGTGTGACAGACTCCCTAACTGGAATTGCTCGCGGTCTAGAATTGTACCCAAAATTATGTGAATAAACAAAAGGAATATTATCTCCTTCTCTTCCTTTTACCATTTTAACAGAGGACCTTCCTTCCTCCTCCTCACCTCTTTTTAGTGTTTGAAGAAACATACGAATCAAAACAGGGATAATATTCAAAATGAGACTCATTTCTATAAACAATAAATATTCTTTACCGAACCGCAACAAAACGTCTAATGAAAGTTCTCTACCCTCCCAAAGTTTATATGTTATAAATAACTACATGATTAGTCATAGATATCTTTCGATTTTTAAACACAAGGAAATTTGTGAACCATGAACTAGACTACTACTCCATTTTCAAGATTTTTCCACTACCTATGAAAAAACTTCAACTTAAGATTATAAATTTATTTAAAACTTAATCTAGCCTTTGAAAGTGCTCTGTGTAGTTGGCGATGGTTTCTCGGTAATAAATATTTCACTAGCAAATTTAGATAATTTATTATTGCTGAACAGCAGATTTCGTAAAAATCGACATCTGTCCCGAACATCGTAACTTTGGTCGAATCGAGCCAACTGCATTACATGGCGCACTAGTAGTTCACATTTCTGATGATTTGTAAACCACAGTTTTGCTGCCAAGTTTACTGTTTGTAACTTCACCATCTCATCTTCATGTGTAAAACTTTTGACCATTTTGCGCAAGACATCTGGTGCTAGAGTTGGAACCTAGAAAATGCAACAAACTTTTTCGAAATCTGAACTTTAGTATATGTTCGGCGTGTTTTTTTGAAGGATGTCAAAGAGCTTACATGCTAAAAGTGTTGC